TTGTGAGTGCCAACACCTGACCCCCAACCCCAGTCACTCTGGAGTGCTCAGAGTCCTGCTGCCTGGGAGCTGCGAGCAGAGACCCTGGAGGAGTGGGAGTGTGGGGCCATGCTTCCAGGGGAGGCCTCGTCAGAGCAGAGGCCACCTTCCTGATGAGGGCTGGGCCACATGCCTGGTATAGCAAGCCCTCTACCAGGAGGCATGGCGGCCAAACTCCGGACTGCTCACTTCTGCTCCCCACCCTTCCACGGGTTGGGGATGCCCTGAGATAAGGATCTTCTCACTGCTCCTGTCCTTTCCTGGGGACAGCGGCAGTCTAGTGGATCAGGGATCTTGGATGAGTTGATCATTGGTACTGGTAGGCATGGCCCCATGGGCCGGCCTCTCTCATACCTTTTCCATTCATCACTGGCAGCCCCTAAGAGGGCTGCACCCTTGGGTGCACCCTTGCTCATGCAGCCGCTGAGGTGTCAGGCACTGGCTGGGGCACCAGGACTAGGAAGAAGCTTGGAGCCAGGACAGGGGCAAGGCCAGCTGCCACTCTTGGCAGAGAAGGGCTTTGAGAGGCTTGTAATAAACGAGGGGCCATTTCACTCTTCCTATGACCTCAGCTGGTCCCAAGGCTCCAAACTCCCTAACTTCCCCTGGTCTGCAGATTCGTATCCATCTACGGCAGCGGTCTCAACCTGTGGGTCACAACCCCTTTGGGGTCACATATCAGATATTTACATTACTTTTTTTGTTTTGGTTTGTTTGTTTTTTGTTTGTTTTGTTTTTAAGAGAGAGTTTCTCTGTGTAGTCTTGGCTGTCCTGGAACTCACTCTGTAGACCAGGTTGGCCTCAAATTCACAGAGATTCACTGGCCTCTGAGTGCTGGGACTAAAGGTGTGCACCAGGACAGCCAGGCTTTGTTGCTACTTCATAACTGTAATTTTGCTACTGTTACGAATTGTAACGTACCACCAGTTTAATCCTAGCACTTGGGAGGCAGAGGCAGGTGGATCTCTGTGAGTTTGAGGCCAGCCTGGTCTACAGAGCGAGCGAGCGAGATCCAGGACAGGCACCAAAGCTACACAGAGAAACCCTGTCTTGAAAAACCAAAAAAAAAAAGAAAGAAAGAAAAAAAGAATCGTTAACATGGCTCACTTTTTTAAAGAATTGGTGGCACACGCCTTTAATCCCAGCACTCGGCAGGCAGAGCCAGGTGTATCTCTGTGAGTTCGATGCCAGCCTGGTCTACAGAGTGAGATCCAGGTACCAAAACTACACTGAGAAACCCTATCTTTTAAAAAAAAGAATCATAATGTGGGCTGGAGAGATGGTTCAATGGTTAAGAGCATTTACTTCTCTTCAGAGGACCTGAGTTCAATTCCCAGCACTCACATCATCAAGCAATTCACAAACGCCTGTAACTCCAGCTCCAGGAGATTTGATACCGTCTTCTGGCCTCCAAAAGTGCCTGTATACATGTGGCACACACACACACACACACACACACACACACACCTAAATAAAAATAAATAAATTTACATATATATAAAAGCCTCATGGCATAAGCTGGGTGGTAGTGGCATACACCTTTAATCCCAGCACTTTCCAGGCAGAGGCAGGTGGATCTCTATGAGTTCAAGGATAGCCTGGTCTACAGAGTGAGTTCCAGGACAGTCAAGGCTACACAAGAAATCTTGTCTAAAACAAACAACAACAACAACAACAACAAAAACCCAAAGAAGTAGCATCGACATAATTTTATGGCTGGGGTGGCCACCACATGAAGAACTGTGTTAAGGGGTCACATTAGGAAGGCTGAGAAGCACTGGTCTGTGGGCCATCTCACAGCAAGCAGGCCCTAACACTCCAATTCTGCCTCGGATGCCTGGTCATCCTTGGTGACCGTAACCCACTGATCTGGGACATGCTAGGTGCTCAGGCCCAAACTTTAGGAATCGCCAACTAGTATCTGACCCTGCCATAGTGGCCTTCTTTTCCTCTACTATGTAGCTGAGGCTGGCCCTGAACTTCTGATCCTCCTGCCTCCACCTCCCCTATGCTGGGATGACAGGCATGTGCCACTACACCTGGCTCTGACTCATCTTTGTGGGTATCTGCGGGGCCCCCCCCCCCCCGCTCCCCCGCAAGTTCTTTCTCAATGTAGGCAGGGGCAGGGATCCTGTAAGGTTTTTCTGGGTGGCTCACACCTCACCCTGGTTGGACATTTCAGTCACATCGCCCGAGTCCACCTCCCTCAGCGCTTGCTCTTCTCTCTGCCTCGAGTGACCCCACAGAGATTCACACAAGGCTTCCCCAGCCGTCCTGAAGGAATGACAATCGTGTTTCTTCAGCTCTGGGCACCTCCTGACACATGACATCTGTGCCTGCCTCATCCAACTGGAACGCAGCTCTGCAAGCTGAGAGGCGTGCTTGGCAGGGTCTTTACGTAAAACGGCTCGGGTGGTACTGGTAGAGCTGAACAAGCATGGGGACCTGAGTCCGGATCCCTAGCACCCTGTACCTGTAACCCTAACACCGGGGAGGCAGAGTCAAGTGGGTCCCCGTCTAACTACATCAGTGAGCTCCAGCTTCACTGACCCTGTCCCAAAACATAAGAGAGAGAGGTGGACACCTGCCGCCAACCTCTGGCCTCCACACCCACACGTGCCCCAGATCTGCATCTCAGGACTAAGGCATCAGAAAGACAAAAACGTGTGGTCCTCGTCTCTAAAGCATGTTCATCTTGACCGTCAGTCTGGACCCCCACCCCCACGCTAACACAGCCCTCTCTTGAGCAATCTTGTCGGCCCCTTTCCATCTGGGGGCCCAGGGTTCTTGTGCTCTCAGCTGGTCAAGGCTGGACTCCAGGTGAGGTCTGGGAAATGGCTGGGTCACAGAGGCCAGGTAGGGAGGGGCCTTCTCAGGAACAGAGCGGGAGGTCCAAGAACAACCTGAACCTGGCAGGGAGGCAGCATCATGGCTTGTTTTGTGAGGAGGGCTGGTTCCCCGACCACTGTGGCCGCTTCCCGTCTCCCAGGCTCAGCTGAGAGCCCCCTCCCTGTCACCTAGCCCCCGTGGGAATGGCTCAAGCTAGGAGCTACCACTGAACTTGCTCCTTTCTCCCAGGGCCCAGTGACTTCTTGACAGGTTACAGCCCCAAAGATAAACAGATTCTGCCAAGCAAATAACTGTTCAGGAGCAGGGGTGGTGGGGGTGGGGGGATGACCCAGGTGACAGGGTGGGGTCCCTCCCCTGCAAAGAGCAAACAGCTGTAGGCACCGGGGAGGAAGCAGGTACAGGTGTACTATCGTGGGTGAGGACACCTGTGGGGGTCTCTGGGCAATATATTAGGTGCTCCCTGGGTAGTCTTTTTTTTTTTTTTAAGATTTATTTATTTATTATGTATACAGCATATGTAACTGCAGGCCAGAAGAGGGGCCCAGATCTTACTACAGATGGTTGTAAGCCACCATGTCGTTGCTGGGAATTGAACTCAGGACCTCTGGAAGAGCAGTCAGTGCTCTTAACCTCTGAGCCATCTCTCCAGCCCCCTCCCTGGGTAGTCTTGCATCAGCTCTTGGCACAGGGGATCAGCTCTTTGGGAGGCCCCATCTCCCACCAAGTCTGTGTTTAGAAGTTCCCCAGGCGGCCTGCAGGGACACAGCTGGACGGTCCTCTCCCTCAATCTGGCTTATGAGCACCACTTGAATACACACAGCTTTGCCAGGCAGGGGGAGGGCCCATGCACGGTCTGCAGCTCCAAGCTGGCTCTTCAGTTAGTGAAAATGCCACAGACACCTGGGAGGTCCCAGTCCCAGGACCTGGGGTCCCAGCCTGCCCCGTCCAGAGCTGTGAGACACAGGAAGTTCCCTTTTCCCGCTCCTTTCCCCCTGAGTATGCTCTCTGCAGCCCAGGCAGTGATGCGGGGAACTTTTTTTGACAGGGTCCCATGTAGCTAAGGATGACCTACAACCTTTGATCCTCCTGCCTCCACTTCCCAAGTACTAGGATTCTCCCCGGCCAGACTCCAGTTCTGAGCTCTGAAGACAAGCTTTGGCGGCATTAACCCATCGGCTTTATGTTGGCCTCCGAGACCTTCCTGGCTGCCTCAGTGCTCTTGAACCTCTGTGAGTCCCAAGGTCACAAAGCTGGCTCCTTGCTCATTTGCCGACTGCCTGCAGTGTGTTCCTAGCTCTCAGGTTTCCAGGCTGCGAGGAACACCCAGGACAGACACTTGGTTCCCATGGTGGCTGGCAAGCGCTCTGTCTCTGGCCTGTCTGTTTTCCACAGCAGACGGAGGCTAAGGTGCTCTGCCTTCTAGCACTGCCCCACGGCCAACACATCAGCCCAAACTTCAGGAATCGCCAACTAGTATCTGACTCTGCCATAGTGGCCTTCTTTTCCTCTACTATGTAGCTGAGGCAGGCCCTGAACTCCTGATCCTCCTGCCTCCACCTCCCCGATGCTGGGACGGCAGGCATGTGCCACTACACCTAGCTCTGACTTATCTTTGTCACACAGACCATTTGGAGCCTACCATTTTGGTTTCTGGGTGTCAGAAGATACAAGTGTGTACCAAAGCTGACTACCTGTTAATCACTCTTACCGAGTGACGGTCTCCCAGCTGTGGTACTATTTTTGGGAGGCTGTGGAACCCTCAGGGGCTGGGGCCAAGCCAGCTGAAACCTCCCATTAGCCATGAGCCTTTGGAAGGGACAGCTCGGCCTCTGTCTTGGTCGTCCAGCACGTGAGCAGCCTCCACCTTCCCCGCCTACCACCCACCAGAGACTGAGCGTCCCAGCCACACCCCAAGTCCCCCGAAGCTTTCAGGCTCACTCTTCCTCCCTTGTGGGGCACTGTTACGGCTGTCACACAGTGCCTAATACTTCCCAAAACATGGATCTCAGTGTCTCAGGTCTGTCTGCACGGGTGCACTGGAGCTACTGTGGGGTGACCCAGGTCAACAGGCAGCTCCGAGTGCAATAAAACTCACGCACACAGGAGAAAGGTGGGGTTTTGTGTTAATTTAATCATACAAATATTCATTTACATGGTAAGGAAAACCTCATCTCCTCCTCCTAGGCACCACAAGGCCCACCAGACACCCGTCACTGTCCAGCTGGGAGGGGCAGCAGGTCGCCCCACATTCACCCAAGGAAACAAAGGATAGCAGGGCAAGGCTGGGGACAACACATTAGTTGCATTTGTGAGTCCTGGCAACCTCTCATCCTTTCCTGCTGGGAGCTCAGGCTAAATTTGGGGGGGGGGTCTTCACATCATGCCCACTTCCCACCTTGGCCACCTGCTGCATTGATGAAAGTGACTGGCTTATGGTTACAGCCAGTTAACAGGGGAGAGGCGGCTGTTTTTTATAGAAAAATGCCCCAAATTCAATCGTCCCCATGGCAAAAAGAAAACAGGCATGCACACGTGCACACACCTACACACACACGCGCACACACACACACCTCACTCCACACACAGAGTCTTCCCAAGCCTGCACCCACCCACTCCCCCAACTGGGCTCAGGCTCTTTACCACCTGAAACTTGGTGTCTGCCTCACCCCGTGGGTGGCGGACTGGGGGTCCTGCCAGAAGGTGTCCTAGTATGTGTGAAGGCTCCAAGGGGCTGCAGAAACCACTGCAGACAGACAGACAGACTCAGGAAGCCGCGGGCCAAGGACTGCACCTGCTCTGGCCTTCTCAATGAGCTACCTCTCAAGGATGCACAGACAGGACTTGTTTCTGGGAAGGAAGCCAGGGTACCTGAGCCGTTACATCTGCCAAGTGAGGCTGCTACAGAGGGAAGGTGCACAGGACGGGAAGGACACTCAGTGACAGTGGCCCGCGAGGTCCCTGCTGGGAAACTGAGGAAGTATGGTACCTAGTAGGGGATAGATGGGGAAGCCAGTGAGGCAGGGCTGAAGCCTCTCATGATTCCAAGAGGGCAGCTGGAGACACGCTGCTTGCTCCAAGGCCAGAAAGCAGGAAGAATGGCTGGGCATGCATGTGTTCTAGGGTGGCAGTGTCCTCAGAGACTGGCCTTAACGAGTCCCTCCGACAAAAGCCCCCTGAGATTCGTGGCTTGGGCACCTGTTAGGGACTGCCTTTGGCTCAAGGGTCTAAGTGTGCACAGGAAGTAAGGGTCCCAGGGAAGCCCCCATTTAGCTGGAGATCCAGCTGCTTGCCCTTCTCCATGGCCTTTTCCACTTGCCCAGGGGACTTCCTCAACAAAAGAGCTTATTGTTGGTTGCTTTTTCAGGACATGGAAAGGTGAGGGGGATTTTCATACAAGCTTTTCTTTCACAATCAACTGTTTAAAATCAATAGTTTCAGAAGAGAATGAGGAGGAACAAACACCACACACTTTTGGAACTCAAACATCCAGACAGAGACAGGCAGGCAGGCAGGCAGACCTGCACCCACACCCAGGCTAGAAGACCTCTTACAGTCATTCATACCCTGGTCTCCCTGCTCTGCTCACAACCCTGGAACACATGGGGGCTGGAGACAGGCAGGGGACCCTACAGCCACACCAAATCCACATCCCCGGCTCTCAAACCACTGACTTAGGGAAGGAGGGGTTAAGAAGAGGGACTTTGCATATTCTTGTATCTTTGGCAGACAGCTGTTCTAGCCTGGTTTAAGATGCCCATGGAGACATCCATATTTCAACCTGCTTGGAGTCCATGGGACACTAGTGGGCACTGCACCCCACCCAGGGAGCAAATGCCTGCACTCCAGCTGGGCTGCAACTTGCCACCCCACTCTAAGCAGTCCCTGCCGGAGGAGGTCTTTTCATTTCCACCTGACTGTGGCCTCTCGGGCAGTGGTCAGCAGTGGGGCTCCCAGCTGGGGCTGTATCATCATTCTGTAACAGCTCGAGCTCCACTAATAGGTTGTGAGAATGCCACGAGGACATGGGGGGGGGGGAGGGAGGGGAGCTGTGTGGTAAGAGAAGCAGGGCACAATTCACACTTGCTGAGTTACAGCCCTGTGTGCATGTAGCACACGCACCCACCCAGCGAGAGCCAAGGGAAGACAGGCCACTGCATGAAGGGCCCAGTATTGCGTATTTGTGGCCACACTCCCTTTGCCAAGGGAAACATGGGAGGAAGCGGTCCCAGCTGTCACAAGTGTGCAAAAGGCCACCTCTCAGACTGTCCTCCAGGCTTCTGCTGGCCACACAGGAAGTCTGGACTTGAGAGCGTGCTGATGCTAAGCAGCCCTGGGCTGACAGACACAAATGTCAAAGGTATAAATCAACAAGAGACTGAAAAGAGGGGAAGGTGATGTATCATTGGCAGAAGCCACTAAGAACCATCAAGGTCAGACTGCAGTCAGGTGAGGGCACGAGCCCGGCAACACCGACTGGCTGAGTCCCCAAACATGCCATGCCAGCCTCATCTCACTGTGACGGCTTCCAGAGCAAGCCCTGCTCTGTAGAGCACGCCGTCCCTTACTTAAAGAAACATCGGGAAGAGGGGAAAACTAACATGTGCTCAGAACTACAACCTCTCTGTAGGTAAAATAATTTTTGTTTAAAAAGATGGCTTATTTTCCCCCATTTTAAATCTCTGCCCCTTCCCGAATGACCTAACAACTCATTAGACTGACGTCATCACCCAAACCCAAGGTGGATTTCTGCGTGGATTTCTTCTTGGTTGCCTCAACACCATTCCTGCAGTTCAGCATTCACACATGCATACTGAGTTCACTCAAAACCAGTCTTTCTTCCTCTTCTTCCGTGATTGGGGGGTAGGTGGGGGTCTGAGCCAGGGGTCCGTGCGATGTGGTCTGCAATCCAGAGGAACCCCTTGCCCTCTCCCCCCAAAGTCAGGCCTTCTGTCTTTTGTTAATTTTTCTTCTTGCTGACACCCGTTTAAGACTGTCCGAAGGGGTAAGGCCCGTGGAGCCCCTGGAAGAGAGTGAAGACAGTCAGTGATGTGCACACCGGTGCTGTCTGAAGCAAACCCAGCTCCAGTCAGAGGTGTGAGGCTCACTGCCCTGGCCACGCAGCACCTCATCAGACCCAGGATCAGGATGTGCCCAGATGCCGAGTTTCCCCCTGAATCCCACCAGCCGAGAGGAGAGACAGGCGGTTCGGCTGATGCCCACTTTCTTCCAGCCAGGGCACAAAACTCCTGCCTGTCCTTGACAACAGTTCTCAAACCTCCACTGAAGACGACGACGCAGTGGATCACGGCTGCTGCCAAGTCTGAGGACCCAAGCTCCATCCCTGGATCCCCACGGTGGAGGACCTGACTCCCACAAGGTGTCCCCTGACGGTGACATGCACGCTGTGGCATACACAAAGTGAACACAAGCAAAACAAGCTGAGCTGCTGCTGCTGCTTACCCAGCACCAGGCACCATACATGGCACCGAACCTGCCCCAGTCCACCCTAGGGCTGTCTTCCCACAGACCGAGGAGGCCTTCGAGGGGGCAGCTGCTAGGAGGTGGAGCTCACAACCTCGTCTGAGGACCAGAGTGAGCTGCCCCTCCTACCACATTTCAAATGCACTCAGTCAGAAACTTACTTTCCTTGTCCTTTGTTTTGCTTAAGACAGGGTCTCACTATGTAGCCCAGATGGACTGGAAATGTTTTTAAGATAGATTTATTATGGGTATGTGCGTCCATGAGCTTATGCACACCACATGCAGGCAGGAGCCCATGGAGGCCAGAAGCAGGCACTGGGTCCCTTGGAACTCAAGTTACAGGTGAGTGTTCGCAAGCAAAGTGGACTGGAATCCTTTTGTTTTTGTTTTTTTGAGACAGGGTTTCTGTGTAGTTTTGGTGCCTGTCCTAGATCTCACTCTGTAGCCCAGGCTGGCCTCGAACTCACAGAGATCCGCCTGGCTCTGCCTCCCAAGTGCTGGGATTAAAGGTGTGCGCCACTACCACCCACCAAGACTGGAATCCTTGATCCTCTCCCTCAGCCTCCCAAGTGCTGGGATTACAGACTCCACCCCAAAGGTACTTTCTATGCTCCTTGGCTGAGTGGTAAAGACTTCCATCTTACGGCCCCTACATTGAAAACGAAACTCTACTGGCTGGTGGTGGCACACAGCTTTAATCCCAGCACTCAGGAGGCAGAGGCAGGCGGATCTCTGAGTACAGAGTAAGAACTCCAGGACAGCCAGGGCTACAGAGAAACCCTGTCCTGGAGGATGAGGAGGAAACTCCACAGAAAGCCAACACCAGAACCATCATGGGACTGGGCTGAGTGTGAAACCTGTCTCCCTTCTCCTTGGGTGGATCTCACTCAAAGCAAAGGCCTAAAGGGGCAAAGGTAACTCGTGACCAGCTGTACCAGGCTCCTGTACACCACCGTGGGCTGCAGCAACAGGCCTCCATGGAGAACACTCGAGGCCCAGTCATCCCGTGAGTGGTCAGAGGGAGCTGGCCTGTGTGATGTCCATCCAAAGAACCCCAAATCTAGGCACAACCCACAGCGGGAAGAAATAGACACCCCCATCAGTCTGATGAAATGTGGGCAAAGTCAGAGAGCTTTCAAAAATCAGCACGGTTCTTTAAACAGAATTATATGGTTTTAACGGAGCCAGGATGACAACTTTACATCCCAGTGTAGTGCCTGGGCCTCAGAGGTGTGCTAAATTGGTACCCGAACAAGGACAGGTACTATTCAGAACACCTGGAGCGTCAGACACCTGGAAGTCAGGCCCTTCCAAAGTCGGTTTTGTTGTGGTTGATTGAGGGGACACAAGTGCCTGGGCCACCTATCAGTCGGGCCCCAGCTGTGGAGGCTCCGGGGGTGGGGTTAGTGGGAGATGCCAGTGGCGCTACAAGACCCGGGGCAGCTGGGTCTGCTCCCCACTCTGCATGTTCACATGACCCTGGAGGGTATTTCCCAACATACCTGACTCCTCCATATAGCTACTCACTGTCCAGGTTCTGGGAGCTGACACACAGTGCCCCAAGGAAAATACCACCTGAGGCCAAAGCTTCTAAGAATGGGAACATGAGGTTTTGAGTTTTCCCCCTGTGGAAAGTACTGAAGAACAGAAGTATGGTATGTCTTTAGTTGTTTGGTAATATTACTGGAGGTGGCGGGGTGTGTGTGTGTGTGTGTGTGTGTGTGTGTGTGTGTGTGTGTGTGTGTGTGTGTGTAACCAACAGAGAAGAACTGGGAGAAAGGGAAGGCTGATAAAGAAGGGGCATCGACTATTCACCAGGTGCTGCAGCACATAACAGTCTACTTAAGTCTGGGGTCCACAGAAATACGTGATTTTCCAACTCATAGAGGGCACAGCACTGGAGAGCCAAGCTGGTGTTTAGAACGACAGGATGCCACATGCCTGCGGGCCCTTGCACCAGCCTCGTCTCCGGTAGGCAAATGAAGGCTGCAACCACCTTGGCCGCCACAGCTGCAGCCCTTGGTGGCTCTGCCAAGCGTGAACTCTCAGATTCCATCTCATGGGCTCCAGTGGAAGGCGCTCGCCCGTGCACCAGCAAGGACACAGCAGCTGAAGCCTTGACTGAGCACCGCCCAGCAGCAGTTACTCACGCAAAGCGACCCACAGAGGCAGCCCAGACTGGGAACCAGCACAATGCTCAAAGGTCTGAGCAGGAAAATCACACAGGGGGACGAGGAGAGCAAGCAATGAAGCACACCCCACCCCCACCCCAGCCATTCCTCAGTGCATGCAGCCCTCCCAGGCTTGTCTAGGAATACTTAGATAGGGAGTATGACTTCCAGACAGCTGACCCGACCCCCCATTTAATAGAAAAGATGAGATCTATGCACTGGGCAGGGACAGGGATAAAGACGTGCACTCTTGGATTCCCACCTGCCATGGGACCCTCGGACCATCTAACTGGCTTAATTTATGGTTCTCTAATAACTGAGGTCCTATGTCTTCCAGAAAGAATGGCCCATGAAATTCTCTTTCAAATGAAGAGTAGCATACTGAAGAGGGAGGGAGGGAGGGAGGGAGGGAGGAAGGAAGGAAGGAAGGAAGGAAGGAAGGAAGGAAGGAAGGAAGGAAGGAAGGAAGGAAGGAAGCAGCCGACAGAGACTTCCCACATGCAGGACTGTACGTGTCACGTACAGAACTCAGGCAACGCTACACCAGCTGCAGAGGGGGAGACGCCCAAAGGTCCAGGCAGTGTGTTGAGCAGCCTGTGGCAGGAGGGCCACATGGGAAGTGTTTTTCCTACCTGAGGCATGGAGAGAGAGAAAATCCTGATGCAAGGCTTATCCACAGTTCAGGTTCTCATACAGCTCTGCAAGCCAGCGGAACAGGTTCTGGTGGTCACCACCATGGCCTGGTAGGGGTCTGCGGCACAGCAATCTCTGCTGGCATCTAGTAACACACCCTGTGTCTCACCCTGGTCTGGAAGCCCTAGGGATGGATCCGTGTCTCCACCTCCCCATCACCTGGACTTGGCACACCACTGCGACTTTTATATGGGTGCCCTGCAGTGTGCATTTTACCCACCAAGCTGCCTCCTGAGCCCTGGCTTTTGCTTGTAAGAAGAGCAGAAACCAGACCCTCCCTGACCTTATTTTCTGCAGTAGCACACCGCCGCTAAGGGACAGACAGACCAAGGGACACTGCTGCAGCAGATGGCACCAGAGAGCTCAGAATTCAACTCTGACCCAGACAAAAAACGAACCCACCAGCGAGGTGTAGAAGGCCACTGCTGGGGGATGGTCTGTATGTCAAATTGTTCTGATTGGTCAATAAATAAAACACTGATTGGCCAGTGGCCAGGCAGGAAGTATAGGCGGGACTAACAGAGAGGAGAAAAGAAAGAACAGGAAGGCGGAAGGAGTCACTGCCAGCCGCCGCCATGACAAGCAGCATGTGAAGATGCCGGTAAGCCACGAGCCACATGGCAAGGTATAGATTTATGGAAATGGATTAATTTAAGCTATAAGAACAGTTAGCAAGAAGCCTGCCACAGCCATACAGTTTGTAAGCAATATAAGTCTCTGTGTTTACTTGGTTGGGTCTGAGCAGCTGTGGGACTGGCGGGTGACAAAGATTTGTCCTGACTGTGGGCAAGGCAGGAAAACTCTAGTAATGGGCCACCCACCTTTATCAGGATCTATGACCCATCCAACCAAGGCTGCCAGGACACCAATCCAGTAGGGATCTAAAGGCCAATTCCTCCTAGAGCTCACTCTGCAGGAAAAGGCTTCTCCTTGCAGCTATCATTACACCTGCCAGGGAAGGAGCACAGGCCTGCAGTAGCCGAGTGGACTCTTCCCAACTTCAGTCTTCCCAGGCTTTGGAAAGAACCGCTGTCAAGATTGTGGGCAGCCCAAGCACACGGGCCAGAGAGGCAGGGGCTGAGGTGCTCCAGCCCACACAGGACACAGCTGGTTGTCCCGGAGGGAAGAGGTCACTGTGCCTCAATGAGGTGAATGAACACAGCAGGTGCATCAGGTCCTGATCATCTGTGCAGAATGCAAGGCTAACTACTGCAAACCCCAAATTGGCTATTTTTCTAAAATAATTTATTGTGTGTAAACTTAAGTTCACTCCTACTCATCCTTATCTTTTCCAAGAACAATGTAAGATCTAGCACTTGTATTCGGAAGGTGGGGCACAGCGGTCGCATGCTCCACAGGTGCTGCCCAGGGTCAAGCCCTAGTAATAATTGGGGAAAGATCTACTCCGTCCAATGGAGTCCGCAAAGTAAACCCAACACCAACAACTGTCTCTGACAGTCTTCACGACGCTGACCCTGTGGAGCAGCAAGAGTCAGGGCATGACCGTGAGCTTCTGTGAAGGGCCCCTGTAAATACAGGAGTGCCTGAAATACGGTGTCCAAAAAAAAAAAAAACCACACACCAAACCTTTCCCCAAAAGGGTGCACACTGAGGACCCGAATGTGAAGTGCTTCTGTCAGAAGTGTTTGGAACCCCACCCCACCAGATTTTGGAA